TGTTCCCCCCCAAAGGGCCGGTCACAGCAACACCAACTCACACTATCACAGCTCCCTTTCCAGCCTGACAGCCATCCAGCTGGGCTCACACGCCATCAAAGGTGTGTAATATAAACTCTTGCATCATGACATAACAGAATTTGACGTCGCATGATAATCTAACATCTTTACTGTAGCTGCGGTTGAACGCGCCGGTCTCAAGCCAGAGAATGTTGAAGAGGTCTTTGTTGGTAATGTTCTCTCGGCCAAGTAAGACATGACTGCAATCTCACTCAGACGTTTCTATTCACACATGCTGACTTATCACAGCCTCGGCCAGAACCCTGCCCGCCAGTGTGCCATTGGTGCTGGCCTTCCCGAGTCGACCATCGCAACCACCATCAACAAGGTCTGCGCCTCGTCGATCAAGGCCCTGATTGTCGGCGCCCAGACTATCATCACTGGCAATGCCGACATTGTCGTCGCCGCCGGCACGGAGAGCATGTCCAATACCCCACACTACCTCCCCAACATGAGGACGGGTGCCAAATTTGGAGACCAGTCACTGGTGGATGGTGTGCTCAAGGACGGCCTCACAGACGCATACAAGAAGGAGCACATGGGTCTTCAGGGAGAGGAGTGCGCTGGCGACCACGGCTTCTCTCGTGAGGACCAGGATGACTACTGCGTCCGCTCCTATAAAAAGGCCATCGCTGCGCAGGAGGCTGGTTGGTTCAAGGAGGAGATTGCTCCCATCGAGGTCCCGGTTGGCCGTGGAAAGCCACCAGTCGTCGTCGACAAGGATGACGAGCCCAACAACGTGAGTACAGAGCTACCGGGCAGCTGTTCAGTACTCTCAAGTACTCTCAGATTCACTGGCTAAACTTGCTTCAGTTCAACGAGTCCAAGACACGCACCCTCCGCCCATCTTTCAAGCCAAAGGACGGAACTGTCACTGCTGCCAACGCTTCACCACTTTCTGATGGCGCCGCCGCCCTCGTTCTTGCATCTGAAGCTGCCGTTAAGAAGTACAATCTCAAGCCTGTCGCCAAGATTCTCGGATGGGGCGATGCCGAGCAGAACCCATCGAAGTTCACCACGGCACCCGCACTTGCAATGCCCAAGGCTTTGAAACACGCTGGTGTCGAGCTGTCTGCCGTTGACGCTTACGAGATTAATGAGGCTTTCAGTGTTGTTGCGCTGGCCAATATGAAGATACTCGGTATCAACGAAGACAAGGTCAACCTTCACGGTGGTGCCGTTGCGCTCGGCCACGCTTTAGGCGCCTCAGGCGCCAGAATCGCTACCACGCTAATCAATGTGCTGAGGGAGAAGAAGGGCAAGATCGGTTGCGCCGGTATTTGCAATGGCGGTGGTGGAGCGTCTGCTATCGTCATCGAGTCCCTGCAGTAGATATCCCCCAAAATGTACGCATAATGATTGATAAGATCGTGGAGTAATGAATAAACGAGCGACTGATCACTTTAGCACCACTTTCTACTATAGTACGTTCACGCATTGAGTTTATTTTAAGACCCATGCCCCTGGAACTTTAAAATAATTGTTATAAAAGCTTTGGTTGGGCAAAGGATTTGTTTCGTAACAGATTCGCGTCGTAAGCGCCCAAGCGCGGGTTGGTCACCAGCCCTCATCACCCAACACCACCTGAGCGCTCCGTGTTTCAGATTGCCATTCACAAATCAGAATCCCCAGGCACCTAGCCCAGAAATCGTCCAAAAGAATACAAACATCCGTCCCAGGACGGTCCAGCCCAGGCCCCACTAGCCCCAAGTGTGTCGTTGTACACGCTCTCACACCCGTTTCAAGCCCTTTCTCCAGAAGCCTTCCCGCTCCAATTCCCTTGAAACATGGTCTGTCTGGCCAAACAACCGTCCAGCTTCGCTGAGCGCGTTGAGCCCTTGCCTTAGACGTTTCTTTGGCTTATGCAGGTTTCCATGAATAGAGCCAAGCGGGTATCGTTTTGCCTGTGACTAGGCACACACAGTAGAACAATCAGATTGAAACAAATCATAATGGGAATCTGGACATTACCTGTTGGAACTAGTCGGATTCTGCAGGTCTTCCGTGAGAGCAAATCAAGGGTTGATTGGAGTAGGACACGGCAATGCACTGTCGTGATGCCACCTACGATGGTATATAGATGGGTCGCCTCTGTTCAGCCTCTAACCCGTCACATTGGAGTCAATTACCGTCTTTGCTGTATCCGTTCTCTTTTCGTTTCCAGTTTTATCCCTTCTCTCATCAAGCGTCTAGTACGCATTTTCCATTCAGTTCTCCCTTTAGCCCCTTTGCGTCTCGACGATGCGTTTCCTCACACTCCTTCCGGCTGCGGCCCTCTTTGAAACGAGCATAGCTGGCTATGTCCTACAAGACGACTACATGACCGACTTCTTCGGCAATTTCAACTTCTTTACTGGCCCTGATCCGACAAAAGGTATGCACCGAGTTTAGACGTGATTTTGCCTGTACTAACCATGGTAAGGTTTTGTCAAGTACATCGATCAGACAACGGCCCAGCAGACTGGTCTTATCAGCAATACTTCTACCACTAAGATGCAATGGGGGGTCGATGTTCAGAACAAAACCCCGGAAGGTAGACCAAGTATACGTCTTGAGAGCAAGAAGAGATATGACCGTGGCTTGATCGTGATCGATGTCGCCCATATGCCTTTTGGTTGCGGTACATGGCCTGCGTAAGTTTGACAAAGTTCATGACGTGCATGCCACTCACATTTTCAGCTTCTGGACATTCGGTCCAAACTGGCCCAACAGCGGCGAGATTGACATTCTCGAGGGTGTAAACGACCAGACCAACAATGGCATGACATTGCACACGGGACCAGGATGTAAGATCGGTGAAGACAGAACCGTGTTCTCTGGCACAGTGGACTCACAGAACTGTGACATCAACGCCGAGGGACAGTCAAAGAACAAGGGATGCACCATCAAGCATCCCTCGACCCAGAGCTATGGCGAGGGTCTCAATGCAATCGGCGGAGGTGTGTACGCCGTAGACTGGACGGACCAAGCCATCAGCGTATACTTCTTCCCACGCAACTCGATCCCAGAAGATGTACTCGGCGCCAGCCCAAACCCAAGCGGTTGGGGCAAGCCAGCAGCCAAGTTCACCGGTGGCTGTAACATTCCGCAGTTCATCAAGCAGCAGCAAATCGTCTTTGATACCACCTTCTGCGGTGAGTGGGCTGGTGCCGATGCCGTGTGGGGCGCCAGCTCTTGCGCGCAGAAGGCGCCGAAGTGCGTGGACTATGTGAGGGATAACCCAACGGCCTTTAAGGAGGCCTACTGGACCGTCAACGCTCTGAGGGTGTATCAGAATAATGCCGCGGGGGGTCCTGTTTCTCCTGCACCTCAAAGTCCAGGTGTTCAATCGCCATCTCCTGCGCCCATCAGAGTCTCTACGCAGCCAGACCCGGCAGTCTCAACTCCGCCAGCGCAAAACACTCCATCTAGACCGAACTTCAAGAACCCCTTGGAACAAGACGCTGTCGACCCTCAGGAGCCAGTTCAGGGTCGCCCTCCAATCCAACCCCAATCACCTATGCCCAGCCCAACAAGACCAACAAGACCTGATCATGTACAAAACTCCAATCCCGCTGACGCTAACGGCAATCCAGACTTCCGATGGCCCTTAGGTGAAGCAGAAGGAGACAGCCTGCCAAAATTCACACCCCCACCTGCTAATGGCGCTCAAGTAGCCCGGGGCTTTGGAGGAGATCTCGCCGCGCGGGAAGACAGGTCTTTTACCCCCAACCCGGCCAACCTTGTCCCAAGGGCGACTGATACTATCGTTCCCCGTGCGAATGATGTTCTTCAAGCTAGATCAGACGGGCCTTCTATCCTCATCACGGCCGACCTTGTCCCAAGAGCGACTGATAACCCCGTTCCACATGCGAATGCCGCCCGCGCTGCTCAGAGCCAAGAAGCAGATGAAATTACAACCTCACCTACACCTCTTCCAAATAAGGCACGGTATGCGAGACATATACGTCAGCACAGGCGGAGGCTTACGAAGCATAACGTGGCGATGTAGAAGTAAGGAGGGTGGGAATCCAGCATGTGCCGAGGATGGAGAGTTGTTTTGTTTGCCGGCTTGGTATTGACGACCTTGGAGAGGGGATGGTGTTGTTTGTATAGTGTGGTGTGTAGCGGCTGAAGTTTCTTTTCTTTTGGCTTTATGCCAAATGTTGCTTCTTTCCTGTATATATATACATACATTCCACGAATGTCAACATTGATTCTGAAAGAACGTCTTCTTCACTTCGTACATATATCGACGGATCCTTACTAACTAGAACAACATTCTGACGTGTTAACTTATATCAGGCTTTTAGAGCTGTACCTCCCTTCTCCATCTTCCAACACTCTACTCTCTAGCCTTCCAGACATACAGGCGAGTGTCCTCCTGCCCTCCCTGACCGTTCATTTTGCTAGAAATGGGAATCAGCAGGATAATATATAATACGTAGAGGTTCGTGAATGATACGTTCAATATGAGTAGAAAGCAACTTAGACGAGTCGCGCTACTTTCTCAATGTAACGAAAGACGGGTAGGTATTTATACCCTCTTGCCCAACAAGTCTTACCCATTCACCCATGGCGCTTCGGCCTGATATTATCTCTCGGCCGTTCTCCTCTAAACTTTATAGAAGTTGGTCGCCAGCTCTCCAAATCTCCCTCACCTTCCCTTTTTTAGCTTTACGGTATATCAGTAAGATTCAAGAATACGCTATCTGCATAGAATTCAACCTCTGCAGCCTCTATAACACTTTGCTGTAAGGAGCCACGGATATGCCGCTTAACCAATCGAGCATGTGCTGTGTATGCAAATTATACGACAGTGCAGTAAGCACTTGTATCCTGCGAGACTCCAAGTTTCACTATGTGACATAGATAGCTGCGTGGTTTTAGTTTGTTGACTTAAGGCCGAGATTTTGGCCGTTACCCTACCAGTAATTAATAATAATTGATTAACAAAGCTGAGGCTGCAGTCGTTATCATACGATTCCACTCGTCTTTAATCTATCTTTGGTGCACTAAAATTACACGCACCTTTTAATTATATGGCGCAGCGAGAGTACAAAGTAGACGGTAATGTGATATATTTCACACTCACTGCCGGTACATTTCTATTGGCTTATGATGGCTTAGCAGGTGTCAGTGCATCTCGCAGTCGTACTCTCAATCCGTGATTTTGTGTTTAGCTATAGACTGGGCTCTATGTTAAGAACTACAATTTCATGATTGTAACGACGCAGGTAGGTAGGAATATCTAAAAGGGGTCTAAGATAACTTAAAGGTATATAAGAGTGCCCGTCTATAGAGATTAAATCAATTAATTCTTATACCTAGAGGTTTTATATAAAAGGATAAGAGGAACTTTTCTATGTATCTATAAGTATAAGGCTCCTTTTATATGTGGAGGTAGAGGGGACTTAGACTAGAGTTGGGGCGGTATTGGCACTGGGCCTGGGTTAACTGCGCTGGTCTAAGATGGAACGAGGGTTGCACTCGTTACAATACTCTATGTCCTTAAACATTTAGATTCATACCTAAGTAGTGATTATACAATAATTATGTTCTCACTAATCTGTTTGATCTTTGAGTAGATGTATTGTCCACTCGTTGCCAAATGCCTGCCAGGTTCTAGCTCATGCAGCCGCTCGATCCTGGCAAATAGAGAGTAGGGATAGCAGACTTAGTAACATTCAATATGGCTTTGCGTTTGTTTCGCTCTTGAGGTAGATGGAGAGACCTGTCCTTAATCACTGACCAAAATATGCCTCAAGAGAAAATTAACGCCCAGTTACATTGATTGTTTTAGAGTACGAGGTAGCGTGGATATACAAATCGCGATCCTTTGAGTAGGCAAGCATGGGCTCTATATAAAAGAGCTGTCGAATCGTTCCAAAAATTCATCTTGATCACACAACAAGTTCGCAATTCTTATTCTAAGCTTTTAGCCTACTACTACAAGTCGCTCTGATCATGAAGGCTATCTTTGTTTCTACTTTGTTAGCCCAGGCTCTGACAGGAGCACTAGCCAAAAAAGACACTGGTCGCTCGTTATATTGTAACAATGAGGGAGGTCCATTGCCAGAAAACACAAGATGCCAGGTATATCAAAATCGATCACGTATCCTGTGTAGAAATTAATGAATACTAACGAAAATAGAAACCAGGAGCTAGTGTGTTTTGTGTGAGTTATTTATGAACACTTACTAGAGCTGAATTCTAAGCCTAAGTATAGTGCCACCCTGAGATGCATCCGGTTACTTCACCTACTTTGCGACATTGTGAAGAGCCTAGATTGCCGGATAGTGATGCGCCTGCATTACCTATTACACCTTGTCTCGGAGGTGTAAGTTCTACTCTACATTGTCTTTTTGGCACAGTTATATACTAACTAACCTATTTAGCATATTTACTGCGTAAGAAAATTTGATACTGCAATGCGTAGCTTTCTTTACTAAGTCATAGGACAGTGTTGAACTAATCATTGCACACGTAGCCTATGTGTTGCAAAGGAACATCTCGATTCTAGCTCTGCCAATCCACCAAGCCACTTGATCTTGGCTGGCTCTATTGTTAACTCATCACCGAGTGCCTGCCGACTTATGCGACAGCGCGATACCAGCAGATATAGAGTAGTGATAGATAGCATAGGTATACTAACTAGAGCAACCGCGATTCTTCGGGTAGTAACTAAGCATGGTTGGGCTTGACAGACGAACACTACATAGGTAGTTACTAAATAATAATCTATCTTCTAAACTATTTGTGAGCTTGTTATATACACAACACTGTGTGTGTAGGGGCCGCACATATTAAACTTCCTAAGCCTATTTATTAACTGTTTAATTTAAATAAAAATTATCTATTAGCCTGCGAGGAGAAGGACAATAAGTAGATATGCTATGCTATTCATGTGAAGCTTACTACTTACTACCTACTGTGTTTATGATTACGATCTATCTACCACGCAATGCCAAAAAAAGCCCCTGCCAAAACAATGAAAGAAAGTGCAAAAGGATGGACGCTGTGGGAATTGAACCCACGACCTTTCACAAACACACACATTAATGCGAAGCGAAAATCATACCCCTAGACCAAGCGCCCGAGTTGTACTTTGATGAAGAAAATCAGATTTTACTATAATATATAGTACCAATATCAATGACCAAGCGTATAGGGAACTATTTGCGGCAAGACCAAGATAGTGGGGCAGAGCAATTGGCGCCTTCCTAATTGCATCCGGCGAGTAGAATTACAAAAAATCTCGAGTACTCTTATTATGTCTATGCTACTAGTACATGAATTTGCCAATAGCGGGACAAGTGTACCTATAAGAAGGGGAATCTGATTTTTCAGTCTGCGTTTAGAACCTCATAGCCTATTGTAACGTCTCTAGCACCACCACAGCAGAAGATTAGTTTTAAGACGTTCTGAGGCGGTAGCAAAAGGACACAATTTTTACAAACATGACTTGTTTACCCATTGGCCCGGAAAAAAAGAGCGATTGACATGTTTCAATCAATGTGTTCGCGCAGGAAATGCTAACTAAGGCTCTTGTAGAATGTGATACCTATTATCACAACACACTCTGATTTAAAAAACAGAGTGGGTAGCTAGCATTTGCAGTCGTCCAAGGATTTCTGGGTCAATTCAGAGCACCAAACCTAGAGTATAAAACTCGCGCTGGTAGAAATACTACTTTTAACCCATGTATGACTAAGATCGAGACTGAGATCTAGTAGTAAATTAACAACACTCGTCGAAATTCTTCTTGCAGGACCACCTCGATCTCATCGGTAATTGAATCCATGGAGGAGTCATTCCATGGGTTTACGAGAGAAAAAAAAAGATGGTGAAAAATGGGTTGTATGTGCTGTAGACAACTATACAAAAACAAGATAAGCGTCAAGCTTGACATGGAGAATCCCGTGCCACTGCAAATGTGTTTCGTTCTACTAGAGAAAAGTCAAAATGACTACTACAAAAACAATAGCGCTATCGTAGAAGAAGTATAAGTGCGAGATGTCCATTCGATGAGTTGTAACTCCCAACATCGGCCGTATTCGAAGTCAAGAGCAATCAAACAGACAAAGATCACATGCCTTCGATATCGCGCGCGGAGAAAAAAAAACGAAGAGAAGCCTCAAACGGAACCCTTACATGAAGAATTTGGTAGAGGCGAACACACGGAGTATGGCTGGGTAGATTTTGAATTTGCGAGAAAAACCCCAGGAACAGGTTGAAGAAGAGATCGGGACCAACAGCGGATATGTGGATATCCATCAAAGGTGTATGTGTTTATTAAACGACCTTTGAGAAAGTGACTGCTTTGCCAAAAAGACAAGAACAAATCAAAAAAAAAGTCATGGGAGGACATGAAGAGGAAGAGAGTGGATACTACCGTCCATATCAAAACCCAAGGGGCGACATGAACGTACGAATCGATAAGGACGAGAAATGAAAGCCGTCGAATATAAGGTCGATTAGGGCAGAGAGCACCCTGAAGAATACACATCCTCAAAAAGAACATACCCCAAACAGGTCACAAAACCCCAACCAGCCAAAAAAACCCCAGGCAACAGCATCACTCATACCATAAAAGGCCACCAGAACCTTCCAAAGACACCGCGTTCACCCACACCAAGATCCACACGTAAACAAACATCGCACAAAGCTGTAAATGTCCCTGAGAGAGCAAGGAAAGGCTACTGAAGCGAGCTATGACGATTGAGTGTGATTTAGAGCCAGCAGATATGCTCGCATACTCACGCTCTTCCCCCTAAATCATCCCTAAAGCAAGCTTAAACTTGAAAAGGGCCATGTTGTCAGAAACAATGACTCAGCAAACACATGACCTGGCGGATACTTTCTTGCACGCGATAGGGTGTACAAGTGAGGCGAGAGTGCAAGGATGCAAGGGCGAGGAGTACATGGAAGGGGTTTTGTGTACGTTTGAGTCATGGCAGGGTGTAGGATGAGGGGAGATACAACATGCGGGTGTGGATAGTGGACAACTATGCGTTGCACGATAGTGAGTATTGCTGTGTATCAGATATCTCTGATAGCAGCGGAGTACAACAGCAAAGCGAGCCTTGAAACAAAACAAAAACTTGCAAAGGCAACCATATATATTCTAGCCCCTTATTCATCAAGCAAATACTCATTCTCATCCTCGCTCGCCTCGCCCCCATCCCCTTCCACCTCATCCTCGACCTCCTCATTCAACAACAACCCCATCTCATACGTATTCTCCCTAATCACCTCCGCCCTCTCGCGATCAACGCGGCAATCCTCCATGATAAGCAGGATCGCACACTCGGGCACCAGCACCGCCTGGACAAACGCCGCGGGTCCCGAGCCTTGGACAACTGCGTCTTTACAGTATTTGATTTCCGTCTTCAACACGCGCATGACGTGTTCCGTGATTGCGCGGCGGCCATGCGGGCCGTAGTAGCCGGGGTAGGTGGACTGGTCGTCTAGCGCGTACGAGTCGAGTTCGTCTTGGATGTTGGACGGGAGGTCTTTGCGGCGCGAGGGGATAGCGGCAGCTTTGCCGGTTAGGGCAAGGGGTTCGTAGCGGGCGCGGTAGGTGCTGGGGCGGTCGTTGGTCAGGATTTGGAAGAGGGGGATGCGGTGTTTGCGGATGCGGGTGGGGAGCGTTTCCCAATCGATGGGTGGGTAGCCTTCTCTGCGGTATTTGTCTTGGGCGCTCTTCTTTTGGTGGGTGTGACAAAAGGCCGTGTGGTTCTTGACCGTCTTGTCTTTGCCTTTCCAGAATTCCCAGTAGTCTTCTACTTCGATGGGCGCTTTGCAGAGAGTACACTGCGTGCCTTCTAGCTCTTGTCCGGGAAGCTGCTGTATGTAATCTTGGAGGTTGTCGAGAGCTTCCTGAGGCGCACTAGAGTCGGGCTGGGAGGATAGTATCGGTTGGTCTTGCATCCAGTCTTCGAGCTGATCGCGAACGCGTGGAGGTTTCAAGAGGTCTTCAAGCTCATCATCATTTAGCATGGTTGTTTGAGAATTCAATGTGCTCGTTGTCTTCTTTTTCTTGGACTTCGCAGAGGGCAGCGCAAGTCCGTCGGACAAGTTTTCAAGAGTGCTAGTGGAGTCGTGAGGCTCCCGGCGAGAAGCTCTGCAGGCGGATTTGGGGATTTTCGTCCGCAGTGCTGAATTTTCAGCCTCTTCGACACTAGAACCAAGTCTGGTATCAGAATCACCCGGACTCAACTCAACTGGGTCCTTGAGAGATACATCAGATCCGCTGTCATCATCGTCTTTGCTCGATGGCACCTTCATATTCCACGAATGTCCTTTGGGACTGCTCGTCCTTGACATACCCTTTGGTCTGCCAAATGTTTTCTTTTGCGGTAGCGCATGTATGTTCGTCACCTTTCTTTGCGAACCGTAACTCCTGGCATTCTGACTGGATTTTTGACTCGTGTGCCCCATACCCCATGTGTAGCCTCCATCGGTGACCGATCCAACGGACGAGGGGGATGCTCCTGATGGAGCGTTCTCCTTGTTGGCTGCGCCTGTCCGTTTCGCCTTGTCTGCTAGTCCTTTTGCATATGATCCAGGCGCGGGTTTTCTAATTTCGGGAATCTTTCGTCCCGACTTTCTCGCAGTCGGTTTCCTCAAGTCCGCGTCTTCCTGACTGCTCTGAGGCTGTGGTATGGGTATCGAGGCTTTTGGCTTTCGTGGAGAGGGCTTGCGTAGCTGATCGTCGTCAGAGGACATTGGTTCGGCGTTGATGGCGTCTTCGTCCTCTTGCGTTGATAGCGCATTTCTCAATCCTGGCTTTGAAGTCTTTGGTTTTGGGGGTGCGGGTTTTCGTAATTGCTCGTCCTCCGACGACTCTGGTTCTGCGTACAGAGAATTTCCGTCTTCCCTGGTCCTGCGCCCGTTTTCTGTCCGCCTTTTCTTCTGCGCGGGCTCTTCGTGGTCTTTGTCCGTCGCATGCATCTTCCCACCTACCGTTCTAAGGAGCGAGGGTGCGCCGCGACGACTCAACAGGACCATGTTTGCGTGGAAATTCAAGTCTGTTCACTGCTCACAACAAGCGCAACATCGAATGAATGGGTGTTGCGATTGGTCGTAGCAAATGTGGAGGGATTGATCGTCAATTCGAGCATGCAAGACGCGTGGAACAGTGGGCGCCTGTCCACCACTCACAGCCGCCCGCATTCTCGCACGGTTGCACGTGCAGATGACATGCTTATGTAAGTTTGCGCGTCATATTCACCAGAGTGGAGAGGAAATCCATTTAGTAAAGTACAGAAAAGAAAAGCGTGGAAAAAATCTGTCTTGTTCAAGTTGTCAAGCCATCACCGCTTGAATACAGCGACAGTTGATACTAAATCAAGAATAGGAAACCGTGGAGCTGATGGAGTCACGCATTGGCTGAACAAGTCGTAAGGGGTAGTTTATTGGGATTCCACGACTTCTAGTGCGCCAGACCTCCGGTCTATTCTCAAAGTGAGTCTGTTCCACGCAATTCAAGCCCGTTTTCCTTTGTAGAAAGGTTGAAGAGGGTGGACTGGACTAGAAAAGGCCTGAAGATTGGTCCTGACGTGAAGCCGCGCTAGCATCTTATCGATAGGCCCAGCTCCAAAAAAAAGTTCCCATCCTGTCTTCACGTTTCCAACACAATTGCGCGCCTCTCTCTCTCAACCTTCCTCCCCGCCCCCTCTCTCCTCCACAGACCTTCTGTCCCCCCAAATCTCACCCGAAATGGCGCTCGACGAATCCCTCCAACAACCTCTCAACTTCACCGGCCACCGCCAACTCATCAACCGGCTTGTCCTCGCAACCCTCACCGGCCGCCCCGTTCGCATATCGCAAATCCGGTCCTCGTCCACAAATCCCGGTCTCACACGGCACGAAACAAACTTCATCCGCCTCCTCGACGCCATAACCAATGGCTCACATATCCAATTCTCCATGACAGGCACCACACTCGTTTACCGCCCGGGACTCATCACAGGCAGCGCCGAAGGCCTCGGCGCAAGCGGCGGCGTAATCAGGCATGAGATACCATCTGAATGCCGCAAGAGGGGGGTGAGCGCCTGGCTGATACCGCTGTGCACTCTCGCGCCCTTTAGCAAAGGCAACATGAACGTCGTCTTCCACGGCGAGGGCTGCGTGACTGCCGCCACCATGGCGGGGGACGTCAGCGCAGACACGGTGCGCACGGCCATCCTCCCTCTGTACAAAAACTTCGGCATCGAAAGAAACATTGAGCTCCGGATCCTCAAACGCAGTGCCGCGCCCGCAGGCGGAAAGAGCGCTGGCGGAGAAGTCCAATTGGTATTCAACCACCAGGTCCGGCTACCCAAGACATTGCACCTGCTCAACCCCGGACGCGTCAAAAGAGTGCGCGGCGTCGCCTACTGCGTCGAGGTCCCCAAGAGCAACAACGAGCGCATGATTTTCGAGGCAAGAGGCCTCCTCAACAAATTCGTACCAGACACGTACATCTTCTCCGACGCCTCGGCCGCGCCCCTCATCCCCACATCCATCAAGACCCACCCGTCCGGCAAAGTCAAAGGCGCAGTCGGCTTCGGCCTCAGCCTCGTCGCAGAATCAAGCACAGGCTGCCTCTACTCTGCAGACGTCTGCTCACCCCCCGAAGGCGGCGTCCCCGCAGACGAAATCGGCAGACAATGTGCCTACCAGCTCCTCGAGAAGATCAGCCACGGCGGCGCAGTCGACTCCCTCGCAGCCCCAACCGTCCTCATGCTCATGGCCATGGGCTCCGAAGACGTCGGCCGTCTCGCCCTGAGCAAACACGTTCTTGCCAGCGAGGAACTCGTGCAGCTAGCCCGCGACGCAAAGGTTTTTGGGGGTAGTGGGTGGGGCTTCAGAGAGGCGGGTGGGGAAGACAGCGATGCTGTTGTGGTCAGTGTTGTGGGCAAAGGCGTGGGCAATGTTGGACGCAAGGTTGCATAGCTTTGGCCCCCCCCCTTTTTTTTTGGTCTTGTTTCTACGCTTGGGAGAAGAAGAAAAATTAACGTGATTGCTGTATATGACAATATGATACCCCCGTTTTCGTTTTCTTGCTTGCTTTGGTTTGTGCGTCTCTTCGGGCGTTATTTGCTGAATTGAAAATTCCCATCCAGTAAGTACTGTGAAGCGGTGAGGAGAGAGGACAGAGAGAGAGAGAGAGAGAGAAGGCAGAAGATGAAGAATTTCCAAGTTGAAAGATAAAACAAATTCATTAAACGCCGCCCAATGAATGATCAAGTGGTAAACAAACCCCTACAATACAACTCATTCATACAACCCCAATCCCCTCTTTTCCCTAGACGCCATAACGCTTTTGAGCCCCGCGTCTACCTACGT